ATGTGGCTGACAGTGAATAAGTTCCCCTCTCGTCTCCTCCCTTTTATCTCTGAGATCATACTCTGAGTGGGTCAAGATCAATGGTGCTCCCTGCAAATCTGCCCAGATTCTAGGTGCTTCTCATTGACCTTACACCGGGGTAACTGAGCACTGCTACTCTCAGACAGCTGGCTTTTATGTTCATTTCTATGGATAAATTTGCTAAATTTACTATTTGCAGGGTTTTCATCAAAAAGTCACGGACTGTATTGGTGTCTATTTTAGCTTCAAACTGCAAGCTGCACCCCTGACACGTATCTTGTTGAAATCATCAAGTGAAACTGACAAGCAGCTTGTAGGTGTTAAAAGGTAAAAGATTCATTTTTTTATCACTGCCGAAGAGATAAATAAATGGTTTAAAAGCAAAGAGCCAAACTTCTCAAACTCCACGGGAATCTTTCAGAAGCACTAACTTCTTATTGACTTATTGATCAAGTGATCCTTTGTGGTTCTGTCTTGCTGAGAAACTTCTAAATGATGAGTGTATTTTTTAATGCCACCTTAAGGTCTGTTAACAGACTTTACAACATTTGGAGCACAAACAACAAAAAACCCAATAAGTAAGGACGTGTTGTGACAGGGTGATAAATGGCTTAACATGATGGAACAGACAGAACTCTGAACACTTTTCAACAATAAGCAAAAGAAAAAATCTATTTCAGGTATGGCATGGTTTAGCCAGGTATGAGGTGTACAATGACAGTATCACAATAAATATACCCCCTGAATATGTTCTACAGAGTAAAACATGACTATATAATACACCTAAAACAGCACAAACAAAGAAATCCTTACACTCATCCTCTGAAGTTTATCTTCTAAAGTGCTGCATCAATGCAGACAAAAAAAAAAAAAAAATGAGAGAGACTGTAAGTGATGCTGCTGCCGTCCTCGGGCCTAATACACATCAAGTCAGGAGAGACAACAACCCAGCTCGGATCCAGCTGGGGCTCACATCCAATGGGATTCCTGTGAGACCCGCTTCAACAAGATGGATGACAGGCACCGAGCTTCAAACTGGGCGCACTCAGCCCAGACATCATCGGGTCCAGGCTGAATAAAGAGGTGGCGGCTCCTCGCCTGCTCTTCCCTAATAGAAGGCACTGTCTGGCTGACAGCAGCACATAAATAACCCAGTCGGTGTGCCGCTGGAAAAGAACACAGTCACCTGAGCAAATTCACTCAATGGCATCACGAGGGAGCGTGAGATGCAAGAATATAAAGTGTGTGTGAAGGTAGGTCACAGAAGCACATTTTTTGACACCTATACAATTTGTTATTTTATTTTAATACTACTGGAGATGTATTGATTTTTTTTAGATAAATTAGAAATTTTATATTTGTGGTTCAAATACTTTGTGTTGTCATCCGATTTCCCCTCCCCAGAAATCCTTCTCCTCTCATCCTTTCACTCTGTTACAGGTGAAGCCAAGAGTGTTCTAAGGAGCTAAAAAAAAATCCAGTTTTTATCAACTCCGAATGATAATGATGAGCCAGATGATAAAAAGCAAATCATTTGAGGTGAAGCAGTTTGCAAGTCCAAGCCAATCCATGACTCAGTCCACCAGTCAGAGCACTGGAAAAAGATTGAGTCTGGCTGGCAAATGAGAGGGCACTTAACCTTTCAACACAAGGATCAATCACAGGAACACCAGTGCATTTAGTAGCGGTACAGTTACACTTGCACCAGTCTCTCATTCAGTTACACTGAATCTTGTGTGGCCAGCAAATAGAAGTGGTTTTCTTCCACCAGTCTCGCAGGTCAAGTTCACCTAGTTTAACTTGCAAATTGGCCTTGTTGGACAGTATAAACAGTGGTGTCTTGATACATCTAGTGTATATTCTATTGATGTGCCATCAGCCCATTTGGCAGTGTTTAGAAGGATATATACACCATACATCCTGTAATTCAACCAGTTGTGATTGTCTCACACAAACATAGATATGTATATAGACTTAATGGCCACTTTTAGGTGCACCTGTACAATTGTAGTGAGCTACATTATATTCAGAAGTGTTCCTAATATTCTGACCGTCTCATGTATGTAGCTGGGGAAGACAAAAATATGGAGCCACTTCTAAATATAATGTAGTCCAGCTGTGAAGGCCTCAGTCCTGGCCTTCACCATGTGAGGACCTAAACCACCACCAGCCATGGACTTGGGTGGGTAATTCATATTAGACATGCACAATTGATCAATGAGCATGCACGTTTGATTAATTTTGTATTGTTAATGTTTACCTTTTCTTTTGAGTTACCATGTTTCCTGGTCCATGG